AAAAAAAAAAAAAAAAAAAAAAAAAAAGGAACCGGACTGATGCTCCCCAGAATGGAAAAGGAGCCAGAACCGTAAGGTTTTTTTCCCGTTTTTTTCTTACCAAGGGAGTTAAATCTCTCTTTTCACGTACGTGATTTTGCTCAGAATGCTAAGGAGGCGGGAACACATCGCTAGCAGTCATGAAGTTCAATCCACGCATCAGCTCTTCCTGCAGGAAGGCCCGGAAGGCGTACTTCACCGTGCCTTCCAGTGTTAGGCGCATTCTCATGAGCTCACCGCTCTCGTCAGAGTTGAAGAACAAGTACCATGTGCGGTCTGCTCCGATCAGGAAGGGTGATGAGGTCTCCGTCTCGAGGAGCACATTCAAGGGCAGAGATGGCAAAGTTGTCCAAGTCTACATTCAAGGGCAGAGATGGCAAAGCTGTGCAGGTCTACAGGAAGAAGTAGGTTATCCATGTCGGGCAGATCATGAGGGAGAAGGTTGATGGCACCACTGTCAATGTGGGTATTCACCTGTCGTAGGTGTTCAATAAAAAGCTGAAACTGGACAATTAGAGGAAGGCACTGCTGAAAGGAAAGGCAAAGGAAGGACATGAGACGCCAAGGGAGGGAAGGGCAAGTTTACGGAGACTGAGGTGCAGGCCATGCAAGACTTCGATTAAACTTTGAGCGCACTGGGGAACGAAACCCGTCGGATGAAGAGTTCTTTTTTTTTTTTTTCAGAACCTCGTAGTTCTGGCTCCTGCCATTCTGGGGAGCAACAGTCCAGTTCCTATTCCCCCGGCAAGTCAATTTGAAATACATGAGCGACTCACGCACGCTCCTCCCCATTATGGCTGGGAGGCCCGAGTGGACGGCATTGATTGCTTCCTTGAGGAAGGATGTACCACCCCCCACCCCTGCCTAAGTTATCCTGCTACTTATGATGCTTTGCTGTTGCCCAGCTGTCTGGCCCCAGTCCTGCTCCTCTCAGAATTGATGCTGTCAAGTTGGTGTGTCATACTAGAGCGGTCTGGAATATAAGTGATGTTCTTGAAATCTCTACCATTCTTAAACTCTACTCATCTTGTCTCTGTCTAGTTCCTGAACCCTAAACCCTTGGCTGTGTTCAGTTGGCTATGGTGTGCTGGGTGATGTAGGGGGGATGTGTGAGAGGAGGGGTGGGGATAGGTGGGGTGGTAGGAGACTGTGGTGGAGTGGTGATTGGTTCTTGGGGAGTGGGGGGTGGTGGAGGGGAGGGGCGGGATTGAAGGGGGGAGTGGAGTCTGAACTGTTTCAGTAGTGGATTGGTGGTGGGTGGTGGGTTTGGGGATGCTGTGTTTATTTGGCATGAAACCCTAAACCCTTGACCATATTCTATCTGTACCGGTCTAGTTCTAGCGTGGGTTGCGTTCAAAGATCTGATAACTAGCTATGTTGGCCGTCTTGTTTGTCTCTATGTTTCTCAAAAACCTTTTATCCCTTCAATGCAGCATGCTTTGAGCTCCCGGGAAATTATACCCGGGTTGGTCGGCATGCAAACCCCCTTGAGCTATGGCTTAGGGAGTGGTACTTACTTGGTTGATTCCCACTCAATGGATGGACCTGCTGAGGCAAGATCGGCTCTGTAAAAGGGAATGGGTTCAGATGAAAGGAGATAACTGTCCTGCCAAGATTTATAGGGTGGAAGACAGTCGGCCCGGTGACGCAATACTTGTCACAACATGGCAAGTCACCAGCAGCCAGTATGGGCTAGGGGAGCCGGCGGTCAGATGCGGTCAACATGGTGCAATCCCCCGGAGCATGGTTAGACAATATCGGTGTGCCAAGGTAGTAAGAGAGCACCGGACCACCTGGTGCCCTTCAGGCTCTCAGTGCGCCACAGGACCTCTCCTGGGACCCACAGGACTGGACGTGGCCCAAGCAGAATCATCTTAAGAAGAAGATTCCCCCCCAGCAGATCGGAACTAAGCAAATCTACCGATCACTCCTCCCGCATGTAGATATTTTGGAAAACTTGCAGGAGCGGTGGGCCAAGAGGGGGTGGCTCCCGCCGGCTCGCCTAGAAAAATGGACAAGAAAGGAGTGAAGGAGTCAATGTGCGATGTGGGAAAGTCTCCCCGACCAGAAGCATGCGGGTCTCTTGTGGATGATTGCGCACGTGGCGATCCCAACAGCGGAATGGCAGGCCTCTAAGAGCCAGTACCAAAACGCGGAATGCACCGCAGACTGCGGGGAGACTGAGACTATTCCACACCTCTTCATCCAATGCCCAGCGGTGCATGATTTTTGGGTATGGTGGACTGAACAGATGGCAGACAGTTCCCCTTTCCAAGCCACAGACGATGATGCGATGCCACAGACAATACTGCGATGGGTATCCTGCTGGGTCTGTGCATGAGCCCGCCGAAGGACCAAGGGGACTGCTTGGCAAGCGAAATACTGCGCGCGGAGCTGCTATGGACTATCTGGACTGCACACAATGAGCGGATACGACAGGGTACGCATCTCTCCCAGGGTATGCTCAAGAGACAAGCGATAGAGAATATCAAGAGGGCAATCAGCAATGATTTTGCTCGGAGTGTCAAGTCGTCTGCAGCAGGGGAAGCACGTTTTTGGTCGCGATGGGAGCCTTATACATCCCTGGTGGCCCATGGGGAACAGCCCGGGCGTCTCGGCTTTGGCTGCCTCCTTCAGCATGCAGTCCCAAGTCAGAACCAGGATCCTTAGGCATATGTACAATAGTTAGGTGCGGGTGGAACCCGGTAGGGCCTACCTAGTGTATACTAATAGGGCAGTCAAACTGCAAAACTGTAAAATGCTGGGGCTGAGTTTTCGTCTTTCCGAACTATATGTAGCATGAACTATAAACTTCCCGTAGAAACAAAGTATAGATGGTCGTCTCTTTTAAGTAACTAAGTTAGCAGAGTATGGGTGGCTAATAACAAAGTGGATGCGGTTTTTTCCTTAGGAGCGTACATGCAATCTTGGGGATAGTGTTAGTAGTATGAAAATTGACTATATTTCACTTACATCTCACTAGGGTGGCCTGTGATTGACGACGATTTTGAAGGGTACTCAGGGTAGCATGGGGATAGGTTAGGATACAGGCCTTTGAAACAAGATAGAAATAGGTAGTACAGCACTGATGACAACTGAAAGGCAGGCTCAGGAGACAGCTAGCACCACCACCCCTTACACCCCCCCCCCCCCCCCCCCCCCCCCCCCCCCCCCC